AACAAAAAAACCTGCCCGTCTTGGCCACTCTTCATCTACGATACTTTTCCCTCCTTTAAGCAAGAAATTTTTTGGGGGCGTGACCTTTAAACAGTTCCTCTATTGCCTTCTACGGTGCCAGATGCAAAAAAAAATGTTTCATGAAAATTTCAAGAAACCATTTAAACAGCTACCCAGAAGGAAACAGCGGACAATTTCAGAAGGCTGCAACGACAATCATTTAAGACCTCAATGTATTTAAATCACTTGGATGCACTTGGATGATAGATCACAATGGAAATTATGCGAATTTAGACGGCGGTGAAAATGGCGAACTAAGTGTGGAATGTTTTGTGGTAAGATCCTGGCGTTATCTTCATTTCTTGGCACCTCGAAGCACGTATTCCGTCTACTATTGAAACAAGATATTCTTTTGATGATTCAGCCGGGGAAATTGCATTAAAACTGTTATTTACTGCGTTGTTTAGCTTTCACGTCTAACGGCTTTAAATAGCTTATTACCCACTGCATCACGACTTCCTGTGTTAAGTTTCCAAAATACCGGAAAAAAACCCTTGTGACTGACAATACTTTCAGATTTGGAACTCCGACTCTTCAGTGACCATTTCCTGAGCGCGATCATTGAAGCTTTCCATATTTGGTTGAGATGTTGAATGCATAAATCTCTGCAGATATTTCATTTGATAAGGAAATGCTTGGACGCCAGAGAAATTGAAATTAGAGAAACATCCACTGAAATTATGCAAGCATTGAGTCATTTAGCTTTGGTTTGTGCCAAAAGTATCATTTACTAATAGAAATATCCGTTATTATTTTTTTGGAATTTTTTTCAGTTTCTCCGCAAGCTGAGAAATTCAGACTGCGCCTGTTGAGAGCTCTCTATTTAGGACGCCGTTTAAGTGGTGATGTTTATCACCTCGAAGTGCAACGGAAATATTTTTCCTCGTAAATCGTTTATCTGCTCTTAAGTAACATGTACACTAAAAAGTTTATTGCCCCACGTAACACAAGCATCACCTGTCATTCATTTATTAGCCAGTCAAAGGACTAGACAAGATGGACGCACGTGTAACTTGACACCACGAGGCATACTTCGATTTCTCCGCCTTCCAAGACTATGGCTCGTTTTCCATTGGTTAAGAGGAAAAGGCAAACCGAAAAACAAAACAAACGCTAAGCTTCCCATAATTGATTTTTTTATTTTTTTATTTTTTATCTGTTTTCACTTAACATGAATATAGAAACAATACAAATAAAGTTGTGCTTTGCGATACAAGTAAATTCATGAAAGATATATACAATGATTTTGTATTTCGCTAAGATTGCCTTGGGATAAAAAAAAAAACAAAAAAAAAACGCGTTTTCAAATTTGTAACCCGAGGTTAAAAGCGACTTGTAATGGGTAGACCAATTATCCTATTTACACGGAAGGAATTTTCCTGGTTTTGAATAAAGTAGGAACTAGATCCCGCGAGAGCCTTTCAAACCGACCACTTATATTGGCCTCAGTGTAAAAATAACTGAAACGACAGGCTTACATTTGCATGAATTAACAACCTCTCTGTGAGAAAAAGTAGTTAAATATCGTTCTCACTGCGATAAATTTACTGCTCAAAACCTTGCACTAAGTCACGACTAAGCATTGACTGGCAATTGGGCCTGTTTGAAGTTTCCCGAGTCGAATTTGGTTTTTACGGAAATGTTTTTGTAAATTAACATAAACTTTGCGGTCAGGCCATAAGGGCGATATTAATCAGAACTTTATGTAATAAGGCCTTGACATAAAGAAATATGCCGTAAGTCTTAAAATACGGACTAAATGGGCGGAATCAGAAAAATTAGACGTAAAACCGCACCAAACCGCTTCATTGTTGAAAGCTATACCAACATCACAACTTTCAGTTCTCAGATTAATATTAGGCAATATTTATGGTTGTTAGAATCGAATTTGTAAACTCATGAGTTTTTCAGAGCTATTTCAATCTTTTAAATGCAATTCAATTCAAATGAAAGATGGAACACATGTACATTAGGAAAACAGTAGTTAATAATATCCACTTTAATTTTTGTTGTCGTTTGATTCAGTTTTTACTCTGTTAATTTGCCGCAAGATGCTTGCTTTCGTTGCTAAGGAAACACAAAATATTGAAAGGATACACTAGAAAATTTATGCTTTTCTAATATTACCCAAATTTTTCGAAAAAGGCTTTTGCATGTTTAAGATACTCTCACGAAATTTGTACGAAACGCTTAATTTGAGCGCTATAGGTGCACGGTACGTTGTTCGTTCTACTCCAGTAAATTTCCAAAGGAATCCATTGAAATTTCACCGCTACATGTAGCCAAATTTTTATATTTAGTGTTTCAAATTCTGTTAGTCCAACCAAAAATATATGAGAGAAACGAATTGCTATGCGACAAACATAAACCATTCGCAATATTTTTTTGGTAACGCATGATTTTCGGCAGCTGTGAGATCAGATTAAAACCAAACTTCCCGTGAACACACAATTGAAGAATTTAGTCCATGTTATGTTGCTTGCATTTCCAGCTGAGAAGAAAACAGAAGACCCGAATGTGCTTTTAATGAATGAAAGACCTTTGACAATTTGGTGTCACCCGTTCCCCTTAAAGCAGGTGTTGCTGCATTGTTTACTTCTTCAAATAACGTGGTTGCATTTTTCTTCTATAGTTTCAGTTATCATCAACGCTTCCGGCATGACGGAAAGCTCAGACCACGGTTTAAAAGCTCATGTAATACGTCCATTGTGAAGGAAAAGTATTCATTTTGTTTAATATTTTGCGTCTACATTTTTTAGGTGCGATTCAATTACACATGATTGAATTGTTTACCCTTAGCAACTCCGCGCGTCGCCTGCACTAGATTACATACTAATGATAGCAAAATCCATGATTTGATTAAGCTTAAGCACAGTGCATCAATTAGCAAGAAATGTTTCTGAAACTCTGGAACGGTTTTTGCTCGAGTCAGGAATAAGTGAAATGACACGAGCGAACCCAAGTGAAGACTCGCAGATTTGTGGCAAAACTCTTCTATATGTCAGTTTGATTCACAATTCAAGGGACATCTCAAATACGTGGCTTCATCAGTAAAATTATTATTAAGCTTTGTAGCAATTTCATTTCGTAATTCTAGCACTTTCTGTGGCGTCGTTTGATGGCGTCACTACCAAACGGTAATAATATCGCAGCACTTAAATATAGCGTGGCCATCTTCTGAAGCGAATATTCCTAATGTATTTTTCGTCTCTCCAATCGCGCGCAAAAGAATATTAATTCTCCTAAATGTGTGAGAAGTTTTTAATTTATAGAAAGCATAATTTCTGGTTTCCTTCAGATACCCTTAGGGCTATTTCCAACTGTGTTATTTGGTTGATTGAAAAAGATTCAGTCAGCTCTTGTAGTGGCGGGTCGAGTGCTGACGTGAATTCCTAATGGAACACGAAAAGAAAACCCTTTCAAGAAAAAAAAACCTCACGAGATATAAAAAGCCAGTGAAATAAATCACGCAAACTTAAACGGAAAATATATGTTAGTTTTAAATCTTTTATACAAATGATTTTATCTCTGCGGCTTCCCCCTTAGTCTGAATATCATAAATTTTTATACAAAAGCTATTAAGCCGCGTTTGATTCCTTTTTTTGAGTTTACCGTCCCTAGTTGCGCTAAACTAACCATGTCGGTCAAATACTGTTTTATTTACGGAATGAATTTTCGCTCTATTCCTATCGCGATATACGTACTGGAAATAAAATATCTTCTTTCTCTTCCGTTCAAAACAGTGCCTATTATGGTGTGTTAAAATCTTGTGGAAATTGGAGCAAGGATCAAATTTTGTTTTATTTTAGCACGCTCTTAAAAATTAAAATCACATTTTCTGCTGAAAAGATTAGTAGTTGACAGCTTTCAACAAATCCCCAACTTCACGTCTCTTAAATTATTAATCCAGTTTGTCAAGACTGGAATACAAAGTTGGATCCTTCGGCAAACAGCTTCAAAAAGCGAAAACTGAGAACAAACATTGATTCTAACGGCGAAAAAGCATTGCCTGGAAACAGAAGTTAAATTTTGTTTCCAATTTACCGCCGCCATGGAAACTTCGATGACGATAGCTATCTACTTCTAGGTTTTCAAAACAACTTTAAGTTATACCTTGATCCAACCAAAATCACTTTACGAGTGTAAAATAATTCAAATAATATTTTGTATCTCCGTTTTGTTTTACAAGGGAAGAAAATGGCGTCTCTGTCATGTGGAAAAAATATTTAACCGCGTAAAGAAGTTGACTGATGTTCAATGGATGTATAGCTCGTTAGCATAATTTGGGTAGATCTCATGAAAAATGCAAAACTTCTTCGGGTGCGTGCAGAATAATTGACAATACTCAACCTATATTGGCTCATTGGCGCTCAGTATTTATAAAATCACACCAGAGGCACAAACTTCTGAGAAATTTCAGCGGCGTGGCTCGAGTTTAGCTCCCACAGTCTACAGTCGCCGATGAGCGCAATAAAATTACTCGTAACACCTTATGCATAAGAACTAAAATCTTAAACGATATTGTAAAACAGCCTTTGCGGTGCGTGTTATTGTCTTTAGCTGTCAAAAGCCAGAGGTGGTACTTTCAACTTTGAATGATTTGTTTTGTTTTTCGGCTCAAACGGCGCGCAAGCTATTATCATTTCAAAAATCTTTCAAGAAATCAAGGACGGCTCAAAAAACATAACCGTCTGCTTTTGCTTTACAAGCACAGGAAGAGCACTCAGGGCATTTATTATACGTATTTTCATTATTGGGAATGAAAATAGAATATTAGCTCTCGACAAAACATTGGCCGGTATAAATTAGTGGTTTTCAAGAGGAGTATATCGGCTAAACTGAAACTTTGCATTTGGCGGTAAGGAGATTCAGACGCTTGTTACTATAGAAACTAGTCTTATGGCTTGACGTTACCTGGGTTACCAGCCCTCCTGTTCGAGGTCCCTTCTGTGGCTCTTCATCATTTCATTTCCTTTTACTACCAATGTGAGAGTCTTACTGAGATCGACTCCTGCCCAAGGGTACTTCTACCAAAGCTGCCTTGTCTCTGCGTCAAAGGTTGGGTTTTAATCGCTTTGTTGTTTTATGATTTTCAGAGTAGGCGTTCGAAATTTTCTCTCGCGTTCGCGATGTCGTCATTCTTCGAACGAACGAATTGTTGGTTATTGCTCATGTGTTGAGCCATTTGTTAACAAATTGTACTTTCCCTGATTTGTTTCAGCGTCTTTCTGCAGCACCATTGTGGTCAAGAATTAGAAGAAATCTATGACGATGAACTGAAGAGCTTAACTAGCAAATTTAAGGTGAGTATTTCCATATTATTGTCATATGATCTTTTTAGTTTCGCACTATCTCAAAAGCCACGTTGCGTAGAGCGCCTGGGTAGTTCTTTCTCACAAACCCCGGCCTTATGAATTCCGATTCACATCATTTGCCTGCTCGTTACCTTTTTCACTAGAAGCATCTTTCATGTTGTCGATCAATTCAGTGAGAGACTTTCGCGAAAGTACCGGTACGATAGCCTTGAATGAAGAAGTTTTTGTCTAGGCCCTTCATGTTTCGATGTCATAGTATGAAGCAGTGAAAAGTTATCAGTGCAGTGAATCAGGACTTTGCGAAAGTCAAACACCATACTCTGATATATTCCGATTAACTACAAAGTCATGTCAACATTCGAATTTTATTTGTAATAAATATGCTTTACGACACGTGTTTTTTTTCGAGCACATTGCTCGATCGTTGAAAGCAAATTACAATATGAAATATTTCTCTGACTCGAATAATGACTCTTTCGGTTTCGTTGCTGAAATACCCTCACATGTTTCGAGCCTTTAAACAGCAGAGATTCTGATTATAGGCTGCTCGTCTCGTGGTGTCTTTTCCAGAATTAGCCACGATGTCCTTTGGGACTTAAGTTTTATTCTTCTCGGAAATAGTAAATTGTGTGCATTCTATTAGAGGTGATTGTAATATATGAAATCATAAAAGGAGTCACTCGACCGGATTTATTCGCAAGTTAAGTTAGACCACAATTCTGCTATTGATGTTGGCGAGTAAGTCTAGTCATCTGCAGTGGTTTCAGAAGGCTTACGCAAGTGCTTTTCAAGCATCGTTTCTTTGTTAGGCCTTTGTGTTTCGCATCGTAAAATTTCAATATATTATTAAATCGGCCGCATGGCACTGCGCTGTTTTGTTGATGGGTAGTTACAGGTACTCTTTCTCGATGTTTCATCGACTTACGAGACTTTGATTTGAGGTTTATATGGTCTCTTCTGTTGCGGAACGATTTCATACTAGGCGACTGTTGTCAATGTAATTTCTGGAGTTTTGCCCTGAGCGTTACCTTCTCCTTAGAAAATGAAAGTACGGATAAATAAATTATGAACCATGTTTTTCCTGTGTGAAGGAAGTTGACTAGCTTCCAAAGTGTTACTGTCTGAAATGTTGTGAAAAATTCCTCGAAAGAAATCCATGATTGCATTCTGTTCCACATCTGTGGCGGAAAAGCTGCCTAAACACCACAGTGAATGATGTTTTTGTAATTCAATCTCGCATGGTGTGTTTTTTAATTTCTCGATACATGTAGCTTGTGGATCTGGCCATTGTTTTGAATAGATTTTAAAAAGCACTAGAACAATATCGACCAATTAATTTCCCTCAAAAGCATGCAGTGGCACAACAGTTTTGTGTAATTGTTAAACGATGAACGTTGCCGTTTTTCAGTGAGCAGTACGTTCGTGCACAAGGAGGTTTGCACTCGGCTATTAAACCCAGCCGTGAGGAAATCCTTTTTGCCCCCCTTGCCAGCCATCTATTTTTTCAATTCATAATAATTTTCCTGCAACTTAAAAAAACAGAGATTAAGTGTCTTGGTAACGGAGGACGCACAAAGTTTGTTTTTGGAAAAAAACATCTTTACCACAAGAGACAACTTTTTGCTAAATTTTATGCGTGTTGGAATTTTATTTTATTTTTTAATCACTTAAATTATGGTAATTTTTTTGCGTCAGCATGTTACTTTCTTTCCATATGGTCAGAGATAAAAATTAATGGACACCATAATGCCGAAACGCGTTTTGCATTTACAAATAAAGTTCAGTATTTTCGTGCGACCTTAAAAATAAAATCTGTTGAAACATTGTGCAAACTTGGCTTTCGAAGTTGTTGACAGAGCAAACACAGGTTTTTGAAGTAAAGAATCTGCTGTGGCACATAAATGAAACATACTGCCTTGAAACATGAAATAAATCAAGCCAATTTATCATTGTGAAATGACCTGGCCAATCCAATCAGAGCTGCAAAATTAGCCTGAAGTGTACCTGGTTCTAATTATTTTTTGTTGATAAATGGTAGTTGTGAGATTAAATTATGTTTTGACCACATTGCTTCGTTTTCATTTGTTTACATTCACGAATGAAAAATAGCTTAGTAATTACTTTGCCTGCTGAAATGTTTGAATATGACAGAGTGACTTTCTGTATGAAGTAAAAATCTCTGAGATCATTTTCATTCTTAGAGTACACTTTACATGAACACTATTTGAAACAAAAATAATGCGAAAAGTGGTTCTGATTTTTTCAATTATTTTTCATTTCCAACATGCTGAACTCCAGCTAAAGTAGAAAATGCTTTCAATTAATAGTCAACAGCCTGTGTTTCATGCTAATTTGTACCATTTTATCACATGAAAACCTCAGGTGACATTGTAGTGTAGTTTTCACCACATTGTTGCCATAGTGATAAACCACTGTCCATAAACAGAAGGGGGATAGGTGCGAGGTAACAGTATTTTTTAATCCTTGCATACTAGTTGTGTGATGGGAAAAAGTAGGACTTTTTTAAGCATAGATTTCGATCTACCTCTCAGATGACGATAGCTTTTATCAGTGAATCACATGGGCCATGAATCAGATGAAAAAATCAAGGATATCTCCACTGTCATCATTTTATCTCCTGCTGATGTGGAATACACTGTGGGTTTCTCCAGATTAAATTTTCCAGACTTGTTTTTTACTATGGAAATTATCACATGCTTTGCGTGAGAACAGAATTGACAGAAATCATGGTAAATCAAGTTTTACTTAATAAATCAGTTGGAAATGGCTGAACGTCAGAACAAACTTAGGTAAACACCTTGTGTTACCTACTCAAGACTCATGGGAATGATTTCATGGGATAAAATCAATTTCAGTCTGCTTGCACTAAAAGTTCTAAGGACAGAGCTTATTCTAGCCTCAGAAGCATGAGCCAACTAGGGGTCAGAATTCTCTCTTTGCAAAGACTTCTAATCCTTTGCAAGTTTCCAATGATAATTTGGCATTGTCAGTGGAGTGACGCATTGCTTGCCCCTTTAAATCCTAAGAGCGACTAGCATCTGATTTCTCCTTACAGTAATGCAGCTGAATCATTTTTTAAGATCATTAGAATAAAGGAAATGATTGGCACACTAATGAGCTCTGATTGTGAAACGAATTCTCCTTGTCAGTACCCTAGGAAATGTATAGAGAACAGTATGGAGAATATGCACACTGACGTTAAGTTAGGGTTTAACTACCTCGCTAGATAGTCTCCATATTCCTCAACCTATTCCTGACATGTCTTAACTTTCATGTAGACTCAGTCCGTTCTGGTTTGCACCAACATATTTAAGAAAGGGGTTCTGTTTTTTTTTTTCTAGATTTCCTTTCTTCTTACAACACGTGAAGCATCAAACTCTCTCTCAAACTCCCCCCCCCCCCCCCCTTTACAATGAATCCTATCTGACTCCTTCTCTTTCTGCACTGAACACAACTTTATCCCACGAACATTTATCCCTAACCCTTCTCCCCTCCCTTTGACACCTCAGCCAGTACCTCTGCAGACTGATATGCAATATTCTGTTTCTGTTGATCAATTCATAAGGTACATGAAAAAAATACCCAGTTCTGATTGGTCAAGATAAATGCAGTTTTCAGGCAATTCAATGCAGAAGGTGGTTAGTTCAGTGCAAAGAAATAAACCAGACTGAACAATTCCGTGAACTGTTTAGCCAGACTTTGAACCTTTTTGCTCCTTTAATGTGTGAAAATATTATTGTATATTATTGTTTTGACTGTACATGGTTGTTTTGACCAAATGCACAATGTCACTTGCAGGTTTGAATAAATTATCACACTAAATGCGCGCGCTTTGCTCCTGCATAATTATGATAATTAAGCCATCTATCTATTTTTCTCATCCAATTTAGAGTAAACAAGCACTTGTAAATTTTTTCAAAGACCACAAATTGCACACGCCTTACGGGCTCATGCAATTTTGTCAGTCTTTGAAAAAATGTACTTGTGCTTATTTATTCCAAATTGCATTCAAAATTATGTTATTACTTATACTAATAACATCTAAAGCAGAAACTGAATAAAAACAAGGACAGTCATGCATTGTATGTATTGAGTGAGTGTAGCCATATTGCTGCTCACTAAGGAGGGCGAATAACTTGATTTAAAAATGGAAGTGACAATTTGAGTTGCTCCAGTATAAAGAATCTGAATTTGCGATAAGAAGTGTTATGTCGGAACCCCACAAAAATGTTATAAGATTGAAAAATTGGTTAGACCTTGGGCAATCAAAGGTCAGTTTGTGCAATAAAGTTGCCACTAATGTTTTAAAATGGAACAACATAAACATAAGCCTCAGGAATCCTCGTGCTCTTCTTTATTAATGAGAAGTCTTTTATTTGTAAAGCTAAATTACATATTCTTGTTAATGAAAAATCCATTGTAGAAATGTTTTTGAAATCTGTTATTGAAAGTGTTAGAATTAGTACTGTAGTCATAGTGTTTTCAAAGAAGACTCTACAAAACTGTCAATCATCATGAGTTCACGTCTTAATTACCAAACATGGCAATGGTCATGTGAATTTACTTTAAAAATAACCTTGCCAAGGTGGGAAAAAAAAGTGGGAGTGATATTTGAATTTATGTATCACAGCAAAACAAATATCACAAAATTGAGCGAGGAAAAATTGCTTCTGACAGGGAATCTATGTTGTGATTAGATGCAGCTTTTGCCCTGACAGAACCTTCTGATGGTTCTAAAATGATTGCCTGTTTCTATTTCAAGGTATTTGATATCTTGTGATAGAAGGCTTTCATCACGTGACAAGCACTTGTGACACTCAGAGCTACACTGAACTGTATCTAAGGGCTGCATGACAGTCCTTTACAGAATTTCACTCCTAACATTGCACAGTGATGCATATGGATTCTTGTAAAATAATTTCACATAGAAATCCTCATTTAAGTCACACTTTGTAACGTGAAAGTGCTTTTTTTTTTTTTTAACAAGCATTTACACAGTAACAAAGGTTTGTTTTCTGAGCTCATGGAGTGAGAGACTCCAAACACTTGGCTGACAATAACTCTTCACATGACTCTGATGATGACTTCTACTAATGTTATCAAAATGTCAGACACTGCTAATGACAATAGTTCTTCTCAGGGCTATTCTCACCTGGAAGATCATAATATTCTGTGATCACATGGATCAAATGTTGCTTCTTGGTTTGAACCATTTACGGAGTTGGGGATTATAAAAACATCAGAGATGCTATGAAAAAATGTTTATTTTTTTGGAACTTTTGGCTTCCATTGTGTAAGACATAAGAAGAAATTATTTGTTGAAACAAACCAAAAGATCTAACCATTTGATCTACTTGGGCTGCTTCCACAAATTAATTTGCTTGGATTAAATTCTCAACAGAAGTTGCCAAAAGGATTTAGAGATTAACTGGAGTGGTCTGTGTTGTCTAAATCTGGTATGCATCAGTTGTATCTCTGTTTAGTCAAATTAAAAGAAAAATTTGTCAAGATTCTTCTAGAAGAATTCCAATGAGTTCAAAACAAGAACATGGAAATTTTTGTGAAATATTCTTTTATGAAATAGATGGTATGATAATGAAAATAGTTGTTTAATGATAAACAAAATGCTTGAATGCACAGTCAACGCCCAGATAAAGAAGCTTATTACATAGAGAGAGAGAAAGAGAGAGAGAGATAGTGTTTCAGAGTAGATCCAAAGAGGCATCAGTAAGCAAACAAACATTTTAAGCAGCAGAGTCATCTGCTTATGGCACTAGAGGTGAATTGGAAGACTTGACAAATTGTTGAGAAATGTTTGTTTAGCTAAATATCAAATTTTCTTTGGAATCTAGCCATGCTGAATTATTTGACCTTCACTAACAGCAGTTCTAGAACATGCTATGCCATTTGAAAATTAATTAATGCAAAAAGGACTAATATTGCAGACATGCAAATGCATTTTCCTCATAACATTGAATTTTGTATTACTAAATGTGTTGCATTTTTTGATGTGAATTTAATTTAATTTTTTAAGCTGCGTCTGTTTGGAAATTGCATGATATTTTGGATGTGAAATTCTATCTTATCTTATTAGCAAGACCAAATCAGCTAAGAATTGGCTTTTGAAGCCCATATCAATTTCAATACTGTCTTACAAGCTAAATTGTGTTTGCAGATGTCTGTCAGTTGTCTGTTCTTTTTACACAAGAAGTCAAGTTGTTATCAGTCATGGCCAATTTTTAGTATATTTCCTTTATTAAACTTCTTACCTTTGCTTTAATTCAGACTTTATATACAAGCAAACACATTTCCTGGACACTATGATTGTCAAGGGAGGCTGTTTTTTAGATTACAGCACTTAACTGAATTATTCAAATGTATGCAACAATAGGCTATGATATATCATGCAATGAGCAAAAGACCTACAATGTGTCACCTATGAGATAAAACTGAGAAAAAAGAACAGTTTCATTTTGATGATAACAGTACTCTGTTGTTGATCCCTTTCAATCCAGTTTGTGTACAAGGAACATGATACACAGACCACCTATAATCCATCATAGGTTGGCAGAATCTCCATCTTTTCCTGGAGATTTATTCATTAAACTGTGCGATGAATACAACAAGACCACACACACAGTTTTCTGAAAAAGCTATTTTTTGACCTTCTGGTTCACCCTTCCTATTTTTTTTACCAGCTAGGATTGGTCAAAATAAGGTTTTAATAACTCCTCAAAGTGTGGTCTCCTACTGAGTTATTTTTCACATTCATCAGAACATAAATTTAATATCTAGATACACAATTGTTGTTGTTTTTTTTTCTGTTTTATAAATGTTTTTTTTTTCAATTAATTCTTCCTTCAATTTCTCTGGCCTATTTTCTCGGAAAAATATTTTATGATCTAGTTGTAGGTATCATGAACAGTTTTTGATTAGCTTTTTGACAATTAAAATGCAAATTCTAGCCTGTTCATTTTCAGAATTTGCCAGATGTTTCTTTCCTCAAATTTGCAATTCAAACCTCATCTTTATTTGCATCATAGTAATTGCTTTTAGTTTTGCTATCAGAGAGAACTTTGGGGCTAAATTCCCTTCAACATGCCCTCAAGATCAATCAGGGAAATAAAATATTGTTTGTTTTTAAAACAGAACAGTTTTGCATCAGCTGTGGCTGATAACTTTTTTTGGCCTCTATTCATAAAGTAGGAAGTTATTTTGTGGTTGCCAAGTGACAGTAAGGTTTGTTTGCATTGCACTTACTAAATCCTGTCTGTTTCTCCAACTCCCTTTGTCTCAAATTACTCTAACTGGATGAATTTACATGTTTTGAACAAGTAGATGAATAAATATCAGATAATTTCTATCATAAAATGAGAGCTGCTGCTGTTTTTTGACGCAAACTACCCTCATCTTGTTTTAGTGGTTAGTTGTTTGAATTTGTAAAGATAATTGAAAAACGTAGTAGATTCTGCTTTATCTACAAAACACTTTCTCACAAACAGAAGAGGTCTTGTTATTTGTTCACAATGATGTTTTGCTTAATTTGTCTTTAACAGGTTTGTTTTAAGAATCAGTTGGCTGCCTTATTGTGAATTTTCAGAAGTGAAGCATATTCTAGGCCAATCTTATGCAGTAATATTGATACAGCAATGTCAAGAAACATTGAAATTATAACAATTTTCTAATAAGAGGTAGAGAGTGCAAATTAGTTATTAATAAATTGTGCTCACAGTATAATTTAGGAAGAGAATCATACAGTACCTAACAGTAAACAGTGTTCTATTTTTTTAGACGGTAACTTATAATTTACTGCTTCTAGTATCTAAAATTTCATGGAATTTTTGGAAATTCATCAGGTACAAGGTCACTTGTGCTACTGGTTAGAAAATATCTCACTGGTGGAAGGAAAAACTGCAAAAAAAAATACAGAACAATTCAGTAGCATTTCTGTGAGAAGAAATTCAATGGTGGTTACTCGTAGGGTTTGAAGGGTTAATTCTCGTAATGCCTGGCTCATAGAAAAAGTTAACAATAATTTTGGTTTAACTTGCTTCTAATTATTCTATCTTTTTCCTTGGGATGGTTGCTGTTTACAGATTTAAAATGCCACCAATACGTAAATCAGAGCTGGATAAGCACGAGAGTCAATCGCGTCCATATCTGAGTAAATCTGCGGGAGGATCAAGCTTCAGAACATCATTTGATGAAAGTAGCAGAATCAACTTGAGTAGCAGTTGTTTTAGTGCAATCAGAACAGAAAAGGGAGACCCTGATGATGACTTAACAAGCCTTAACTGGCTGCAAAACAATGACATTTTGAAAGGCTTTGAAGTCTCAGCGACCGTGCCGCCTATGTCCCCACCCAGGGACAGTAATGGTGACATTCTTGAAACCCCTCCCAGAGGGGGTCAGGCAAAAGGACCTCTCTCTCCAGACACTTTGGCCAATAAACGGAAGAGTCCGTCAAAGCCTCCATATTCATTTTCTTCACTTATTTTCATGGCCATCGAGGAAGCACCTTCAAAAAAGTTGCCTGTAAAGGATATTTATAACTGGATTATGGATCATTTTCCATACTTTCGGGACGCCAGACTTGGTTGGAAAAACTCGGTGCGGCACAACCTTTCACTAAACAAGTGTTTTAAGAAGGTTGATAAGGATAAAGGCCAAGTGAGTTTAAAACAGATATTTCAATTATTTCAATCTGTGACATTTCTAGTTGACAACCGGTGTGGGCAGAACCAATTCAGGGCAGATTTTTAGCAGGGGAGGGGGGGGGGAGTCATAGAAGATGGAATCTTACTAATATTTGATTTGAATCATTACAAAATTTCATTTAATCCTGCACAAGATCAGGTTACCATTGGTGTGACATTCGTCTCCTTACAATGTGATACCATTTTTAACCCTTTAACTCCCATAAGTGACCAAGACAGAATTTCTCCTTACAATACTGATAAAATATCAACCAGATAAGTGACGAGAATAGAAAAAAATATCAATTTGGGGATAATTAGTCAATCCAATACTAAATTCTCTGGACTAACATTATAAGGATTGTATGGTTGACAGTGAGGAGAATAACAAATTTGATCTGGGAGTTAAAGGGTTAATTAGATCCAAATTTTCTATCTGATGTAACAGTTATCAAATTCTTACAAGTTGCTCTAACCCCTTGAGGGATTATCAATTGATCCAATGCCAAAATTCTCCACAGTAACATCATAAGAACTGTAAGGTAGACAGTGAGGAGAATTACTAATGAGATCTTGGGAGTGGAAGGGTTAAAGAATATCAGTAATGACCCCCACTGTGAAGTCATGTCATGAAGTCATCTCAGACTGTCGAAACAGTCTGGGCTGTAGTTTCATCCCACTTAAATTCATGCTTTATATTTTAACATATTTCAATATGAATATGTTAGAATCTTTTGATATTATCGTAAAAATCAGTTTTCGATTTATTTTCTAGGATTCATTTGTAATTTTCAAGTATTGTAAAGTTTTTTTAAATAATTGCATAATTCAGCCTTTGGCTGCAGTACAGTTTTAATAAACTATCTATCTATCTTTCTTATCTATCTATCTAAGCTTCAGGCTGTTCTGACTGACTAGAGTAGTTTTATCCACAGAATGTTGGCAAAGGTTCACTGTGGACTGTTGATCCTGAGTATCGGCCAAACCTTCTTCAAGCTTTGAGGAAAACACCTGCTTTTCACCCGTATCATCATCTTCTCACCACGCCTCCACCTTCACCGCAGAATGGGTCAGGAAGGTAAAATTGTTGGTTGATTTGTTAGGCATTTAAGGCAAGCTGTTTACATACTGACTGAGTGGGAGTGCTGGATGGGTAATACTTAGTTTGAGGTCATATCTAGAGTCCAATATTTTCCAGTCCACTATAAGCATTCGTCATGTGATCACAGCTCTCTCTTTTTTCTTCCCTTCTATTTTTAGCTTGCAACTAGGTTTGGGCATAGTGCTTTTTCAGGCCCAGTTCTCACCATCCCATTTGGCCCTTGTACAGAGAGTTTTTTTTTCTTATTTTCTCAGCTGGGCTGCTCAGGTCATATGATAATTGACTTGTATGTGAGGATGGTTACTATTGAAGGGAACAAATCAAAAAACCCTTGAGTAGGAATTTGAACCAGCATGAAAAAACTCAACCCAAATTTGATGTGGGTTCCAGCATTCAAACCAGTTGTATGTTGTGGGTGCAGCACTCTTTATCCACTTCCCAGTTCGTGCTCCCATTAATTTTAAACAACCACGAATGTGTGATATAATAAGATGTCAATGATAGGTGTTGTGATATCAGGTCCTTTGTCTCTCTTACATGTAATTAAAACTTTTCCTCAAGTTCCTGTAGTTAAGACTTGGATGTAGCTTTGTTTGTGTTGATGTAAATTGCTATTCAAAGAATTGTTTGTTCTAAATCTTTTTTTTTTGTTTGTTTGATTTTTTTCCTTTTCAACAGTTCGCTTGGAAAAAATAGTGGTAAGTAAGCAACTTCTACATTTCTTTTTAGTTTAAAACCTAAAAAATAAACAGAAAAAGGCCAACTGGAATGGTTATCTGCCCAATGCCAAAAAACAAAAGGAGAGGTGATGTTACTAAAATTTAGTAATTTAATATCTCCAAAGAAGTTGTAAGAGTCACCCTAACATTTACTGTAATCAAAGCCTTAGAAACAATGATTTTACACTTGCAGGTAAAATTGAAGTTGACCCAGATGCTGAAGCAGAAGCAGTGGCAACAATTTGCATGATAAGCACACCTCCTGAAATACGTGTCGCAGAGAGTAAGTACATCTTCTCCTTATCAGTGTCATAGGAAATGCAGAGAGAACAGCATGGGGAATGTAGATATTAATGTTAGGGTGTAAGGGGTTGAAAATTATGAAATAGTGAAATGATAGTGTATGGGTAAGTCCCAGAGGCTAAGTAATCCGTGTCTGCAGGAGCCTATCTGCAGCTTTTCAGCATAAAATGACTGGGATGAGATGCTCGTTTGTTACAGGGAATCAAACAACATTTGGTCAGGGTTTCTCGGCAGTTCACTGGTACCCATTTGTAACACAAAGGTCTTCTCGGGGCTATAAAACACAAACAACTTGATCTGGAGTCCTGGGACAGGTTGTTTGAAAAGGGATCAGCATTAATCTAGGATTAAAATTTATCTTAAGCTTTAATTCCTTATGTAGAAAAGCAGGTTTAAGAGCTAAGGCTTTGTTAGGCCTTATCTCATTAAGACTCGAAACTAACAGGAAAAATATTACAAAAGAAAAATCCCTTTGCAGAGCTAAAAACAAACTTAAAAATGTACACTAATCCCAGGTTAGATTAACCATGTTTTGAAAAAACTGGCCCTGGGGTTAAACTGCATTTCTTCTTCCACAGTGTGTTGGGTGTTCAGAAAAAGATTAGGGTGAGGTTTAATGCTCCTTCCAAAATACTGAAAAGTATGCCCTGAGTTACCTCCTGAAACCATTGTCAGTTTGACTTGTGAATATGAGAAGCATAACAACATGTAATGTGAGGATTCCATTTGCAAATTATTTGGCATCCTTAGGAGTCTGGGGGAGGGCAGGCATCTTGATTAAGATGACAAATCCATTATTATGTTTAGGGGAAGGAAAAAGACTTTTGTGGGGATGATGGCTCAATTCTTTTTCTTGGAATCACAGGATCATTTGAGTTATGAGTTATCAATCAGTTCTTTCTTTTATAATCATGTGTGGCACAGGATATCCATAAATTCACTAAAATGTCACTTTGATTCCATTTTGCCAATTTTTTTTTCTTTTTTTGTTGACCATGTAGTCATTAGTTAGTTAGGAAAGGAACAAGGAAAAAACAAAAAATGCCACACCTGATGACTATGTGTTAACCCTTTACACCCTAACATCAGCATGCATATTCTCCATACTGTTCTCTATACATTTCCTAAGGTGCTGACAAGGAGAATTTGTTTATCAATCAAGAGAATATTAAGTTGGTGTCATTTCCTTTGTTCTTATGACCGTACTGTGTGATGCAGAGGTTATACTGTTGGGAGAAAATAGATGCTAGTGACTCTCAGGTGTAAAAGGGCTAAGGTATTTACAAAGTGTGTTTCCTTATTTCCCAGTGGTACGATGCCAATCATGTCCCCCTTCAGAGACGGACAGAGAGGAGTTGCTTGTTAAACAAGCCAAAGAATTCCTCTTCAGACACAGAGGTTCATTTTCTGGGTCGGTTTCTATGGCAAAGGATAGGAACTCATCCTTGCTCATAGATACCCACAGAAGGTGAGGATGTCAGGTTTTTAAAAATCCATATGTACAGAATTTCTGCAAGTGAACAGTATTCCATGTATAAGCCACTGATATTGTGTATTTCGTTGTGAAACACAGGGAGAATTTGTAGTTTCATCAAAAGTCACATACAGCTCAGTATCTTGTGCACTCTTCTGACTGTTCAGCTGTATACTTTTGTTTACTTATGAAAATGTATCATTCTTTTAACAAAACTTTTAAGAAGTTAATGTATTTTTTTCTTTTAAAGAAATAGTGTCAAAGCTGGTCTGTCTGCATCTCTCAGTAAGATTGATTCTGTGAAGCTGAGGAACGACATTTCACCGGATTCATCCCTGGATGGTGAGTTTGAATTTGATCACCATGATGATTCGGATGATGATGATGACAGCGAAATTGAGGAGACCATGGAGAAGGTTGTCAAGGATGAATTGAATGACAGGCTGAGTGACAGTGGTTATGGCCAAGGACTGGAAGATGAGATAGAAGGCAAGAGGGCGGCTAGCAAGGATAGGCCTGCATCACGGAATAAACGGGGCCGCAGAGACAGCACTATGGAAAAACTGAATGATATTGCTGGTGCAGATGCACTGCTGGAACTGGCCAACTCGGCTTTTGTGCCATCACCTCGTGTCACGTCAGCCACACCCAGTCCTGTTCCAGAAGGTTCCCCTACAGCTGTCAGCTAGTACTTGTACAGTGAGAGAATATTACAATCAATTTACTGGTCAAATTACTGGCATTTTGGTTTTCTGCTTTGGTGAACTCTATCAGAGATATAACGGTGTACACTTCAGCTGTACATTCGCCATAGACTGTATGTTGCGGAACAACTCTGGACTGGTGAGATAAAACCGATTTCTCGTCAGTGCCACGAGTCAGTTGATCACAAATCAGAGAGTTGTTATGAATTTTTATTTGCCTGAGTAGCAAATGGGGCAGCATGGTTAATATACCAGAAATAATGCAAATGGAAGGGTTTGCTTGATTTGCTAGCGGTGCAGTACTTGGCCAAAACTTAACAACTCATTAATGTGAAAGTTGTTCCTTCCAAAAGGTCTCTAAATCAAATTTTATAATTGCTTGGTAGTTTTCCATTGAATGGTTACAGGCAAGGGTTTTATTGAGAGAACTTAAAGGTTAAAATCATCTTTTGCAGCATGTTGAATAGTGCAAAGGTAACTTTAATATTCAAAAAGGTCAATCTAGATTGTAACACATTAGCGGATGGAAGAAGTTTTGTGGACACGGAGTCTTTCAGGATTTGTAGGATGGAAACATTGATTTGGGGCTGAGTAAAAAAATTTTCATCACAATGAAAACTTGGATACAAAATTTGTCAAGGGTTTATTGATTTTTTTATATTTTATCTAAAAATAACATGCTCATGGCAATGATATTTGAAATTAGAGGCTGTTGCAGCTGTAAGTTTACATGGAAAAAATTTGATATGTCCATAAAAAATGTTATGTTGAATTTAATGGTTATGGGAGTAGTTTTTAACCCTTTAACTCTTAGATCAAATTTGTAATTCTCCTTACTGTCAACCTTGCAATTCTTACAATGCTAGTTCAGAGAATTTAGTATTTGATCAACTAATTATCCCCAAATTGATATTTTTCTTTATTCTCATCTCTTATCTGGTTGATATTGTATTGATATTGTAAGGAGAAATTCTGTCTTGGTCACTCATGGGAGTTAGAGGGTTAAGGGAGATTTTGCGACAGTCATACTTTTTATTGTAAGTTTTTGTTACGTATTCTTGATTAGATTGAGGTGAACGACAAAACATATCCCAGCTGGGAGAAAAACTGAAAAAAAAAGAAAAATATGTAGCAAGGGTTAATTTTATAAACAAAGTATATAAAGCGGTTTTGGAAATATCAAAGTCAATACTTTTTTTTTTAGAATTTAAATTACCAATTTTGTAATTTTCGACTATCAGGAAAACGATGGGTCATATCCCTAATAGAGAATTACTTCGGTCATGTAAATATTTCAGGGTGCCCTGTGGACATATTTAATGATGGATAAAATTAAGTGATTCGTTATGGAACAATCTTTTAGATTATTATTATCTCCCACTTTCTGTGCTAATTTAAAGATAGGGAATGTCTGAAATGATATTCAAGCAAAGATGGCAAGGTGAGCTTGTCATGAATTCAAACAATTTTTGAATTATGCTTTTACGAGAAGTACTAAAGACAGTTGTATTCATTGAATGTTATGCCATCTCAGCCGGGTCAAAGTTCAGAGGGGAAGAATCTTAGCATCTTTTGTTGACTAAGGTCATGTGTCCCTTTAAAGGAGGGGTTGGCAGAATGTTACAATTATGGTGCATGTACTTTGGCTTGGACCAATCATTTCTATGTTTCAAGTCTGTCTTCTGCTTGGCTGGAAACACGACTAATGAAACTTTGGTGAATTTCTCTCTTTCCAGATATTTTAGGCCGAAGTTAGATTGCATTTCCTTTGAATGACAATCATAGCAAGAGGTCATTTCTCTGAATACAACTGTTTTAAAATTTCAACGAATACTTTTTTCGTTTTAAGCGCACAGATGTAAAGTAAAGTTATTTCAAAAAATGTACCCGATGTCAGACAACTTCGGAAAATCTAGTTGCAGATTCGATCCATTCGTCTTGCAGCCCAATTCGCAATCACATCATGATCTTTCGAAGACTCCTCGGTATCTTTCGCCAATTTTTGGAAATTTCCGATCCGTAAATTTCATTAGTTACAATTTGTACCGTCGTAGGACGATTTAGTTCCTGACCGGTGGCCTTTTCGGTGCGTCGTGTCATCCCAAGATGCAGTGCGTTATCCCAAGATGCAGTGCGTCATCTCAAGAAGCAGTTAATAATTTTCTCTTTTTGTTAGTAAACCTTCGACCGCTCATATTCGTAGTTCTTAGTTGAAGAATTATTTTTGGAGCTCTATTTTGGTAATTACGTCAAAAAAAAATATCTTTAGAATCATTAGATGTCGTTTTCGCATACGTATCGGTGAGTTTCGAGAACCACATGTAGGAATCAACAATCATTCGTATTTTATATAAGAACAAAGTTTATTACCAGGAAGGAAGAATTTAAACCAAAGAGGTATTCAAATGGACGTAAATTGGTAGAGTGGGTGATCCTTTAGTCAATAGGCATCAAGAGAAAAACAATCATTACCAAGTTGTAGTTACTGTTGATTAGATTAATGTAAATAAAGTTAAAATTGCAGATCTGTCATTTGTGTTTGTCTTTTACACCCGAACATCAGTATGCATATTCTCCATACTGTTCCATATACATTTCCTGACGTGCTGACAAGGAGAATTTGTTTAACAATCAAGAACTTATTCAGGTGGTGATCATTTTCTTTATTCTCCTGACCTTTTAGTGTGATTCAAGGGTGATATTTTGTTAAGAGAAATCAGATCCAATCACTCTTAGAGCTCAGATGGTTAGACAACAAGATTGGAGGAAGGTGGGTCAGGGGATATGTTATCGTTGCCGGATCGGATCAATAGCAACTGCCCACCTACCCCTCCCCTAACCCAACGTTAACCTGACTTGTTGTCAATTGACTGTTGTTGAGTTAGGGGAGGGGTAGGTGGTCAGTTGCCCAGATACTGATATTGATCCACTGGATCAATATCAGTGTATCCCAACTTGTTATCAATGATTGTTGTTGGGTTAGGGGAGGGGTAGGTGGGTAGTTGCCCAGATACTGATGTTGATCCCCTTTTTTTCTCCGGAATTGACTTCTAAGATATTTCCCCTTACACTTCCAGCAATTCGTCATGCATAAAGGAGACCAGAAGAATGAAAAATATAAACAAAGGAATTTTTTTCCGATTTAACACAAGTTCTCAGAGGTTCAATTATTGGAAAAGGATGGCAGACTCAAAGGCGAGTAGAAATCTAGATCGTGTAGGAGAGATAGAATTTGCAACTTTTGTTAGGGAGTGATCTGCCACAATATAGACCCATTTTTAGCCGGAAAAAAGTACTTCTTTTATTTCTCCAGAATATAATTCTACCCTTAAACATAAAACAAAGGAAAAAACAGGACAAACGGATGCCTTTTCTATGCTAGAGTGTTTTCTCTTGGATATTTTGATGAAAAGATATACTAAATAGTTCATTCAGTTGTCCTCATCTTTTTAGATCTCAACTTGTGAAATCACCCCCCCCCCTCCCCCCCCTCGTTGAAGTCGTTTCCCAACGCCCCCTCTCTTCCCTCTCACATAGCTCATACCACCTTCTACCTGAAAGCCACTCCGCTGAAGAACCAATATCGTATTTATTCGATTAAACGCCGCGGCGTTTATTAAATTTTTCGTGATTGGAGTGTGGCGTTTATTCGAGTGCGGCATTTATACGAGGGCGGCGTTTATTTAAAATCCAAAAAAGTGGTATGGTAATTGACCATTTTAATTGTTAAAAAACAAACATGTTGTAGTGATTGTCTAAACAGTTATTTTTAAAATTTTTCTCAATTTTACAATTTGCATGTTAATGCTACTGTAATACATAAAGTAAATAAAGTTCGTATGTCGGATATGCTTTCTCGACATCAGAACTGGTACATTTTAAAGGATTTGTGTCTGGTTCACTCAAAATTTCCAACTGCGATCGAAGTAATGATCACTGTGTGTATTTTGAGTCTATTAATCAAATAAACGTCGCATGATGATGCGGCGTTTATTAATATTTCTGCTCTAAAGACGGCGCTTATTCAAGGGCGGCGTATAATTAAATAAATACGCTATTACACTGGCGCGCGGGATTAAAAGACGCATTCGCTTCGATCTTTTACCGCGTTCCCCCGCGCTTTGTATCCGACAGCAGTTGATTGACATGTTTCACTGATTAAGCTTTTCTTGTAATTAACAAGACGCAAAACGAAAATAAAAGGGAAAAGATGAGAATACTTCAAAGAAGAATATGTATTTAACAGCAGAGAGGAGAAAAGACAGTTATTTTTTATATTACATCTTCCCTTGGCTGGAAAAGCGCTGCGATTGGTTAACTTCGCCGCTCTAATTGAAAAGCAATCGAATCCTTCAAAGGAAGAATCTCAGACTGCATAATTACTAACAATTCAGTAAATGACAAGCAACTAAGATTTTTAAAGCGAATTTTATCAAAGGGCATCAGGTGTTTTCTATAAACGTTTGCTAATCTCTCAACAATTTTTTTTTCAAGATGGCAACTTCCTTTTCTCTTTGAAAAATGTAACTTCTATTATTTTCCATAGCTGCTTTTTTTTTAATTTAACGAGAGAACAGAACTCATGATCAGTACAAAACACACACACGAAACGTAAAATGTACATATTTCTGATTAAATCTGCTCTATTTCGACGTTTCTATTTACATAAAATTATTTTGTTTATTTCTGAGAAATTTCCAAAAAATATAAACGCAGACACCACACAACGATTTCGAAGGCATCGACACGCTATTCAGAATGGTCTGTAAAAGTTACGGTGTAGTCTAATTTAATGGTCTCTCTAAAACCGAAATGATGACATAACAACTGCTTATTTTCTTGTCAGCTAACCATAACAGAAAAAAAAAACATTTAAGTGAGCAAAGAAGTATCTTGAAGAGGTAATATGAAAATAGTTTTCCTTTGCGTTTACAATTTGTTTCAACAAAAGCCAGTCAGTTGAAAGAGTACCCTTGGCGAGTTCAATAAATAATTCCTCTGTGATTACGAAAGTTACAAAGGGGGACGAAGATTGTCAAAACAGTATTCTGATGCGAAAATAAGAGAAGGTTACTTTCCTCTTACAGAAGCCTTAGCTCAGAAGTTTCCTGTTTCTTGTTGTGGAAAACAATTGGATAAAACCTGTTTCCTTTCGATTGCTCGCTGCTTTCAGGTTTGGTAAGGTCATGGAATCGTTCTTCGTTCGTTTTTCTTTCCGCTGCGGTAGCTTTCTTTTGCTCCTTGAGGCGATATCTCTTTCGGCAACACATCCACACATAGAAATACGCCAGAAAACAGAAAAACAACACTGCAGCGACCAAGAAAAAGATGATGAATGCCAAAGGCGCGCGGTGGAAGAACATTATGACCACTTGGAAATTTTCAACTAGGACAACAACGGTGTAACCTTTTCGCTCGGCAGGGAGAAAACCATAACATCAAGTAATTTAACTGATGATGAATGCAGGTGTTTTGCGTCGAAATTTGTTGCAAATACAAAGTATTGACCGTAAGTAATAGCGATCTTAAGTGAGGATCGAACTGAATTTGCATCTATCAACTGAAGCAAAATCCTTTATACAAATCTTTTGAGTTCGGCGGAAGCCCTTTCTTCTGCAGTAACAATTATCTCTGACGTATATAAGTTATTGAGATGGTGTGCTTGTTGTGATATTGCTGTATATCACAAAAAGACAGATTTGAAAGGAGATTTAAGTATATATTTTGTGTTTGTTCCGTCCATGCGTCATTGAAAACTTAAAAATCATTTGTGAAATCTTCTCGCCCAATGAAAATTCCAGCAAAATCGACTAAATACAAATGCAAACGGCAAAACGATTCATTGAACATACACCACAGTTGCTACCATAAAGTAGCTTAATAAATCTAACAAAGAATACCTTTGATATTGAAAAAAGAGTCCTTCGATTTTCGCGTTGTCTTTTAGGAAAATCATATTATATATCAGATTCATATAGATTTGAAATATCTTTACGTTCAAAATCAAAATTTGGTAACAGTAGCTATAAAATAAAATTATCAAAACCATGACCCGGCAAATCTGCGATTACAAAAAGAATTTATTAGAGAGTTATATTGGATAGGGAAGATCCATGGACGCCCAAACAGATTTCGTAATAAGGAAATCAACATAATATCAATTTTAAATCTAAACTATTGATTACATCAGAGAACATCCTCTCACGAATGTTAAACTCATGAAACGTTCAATCCAATATCATCTTTCCGATGAACTACGGTTTTTCAGAGTCAAATTTTGTGTTCAATGAGCAATCTGCATAAAAATGAGAATTTGGACAGAGGACAACGTTTTGAAGGGCAATGAATTCAACTAAAATTTTACAAACGCCGAGGTTTAATAGAAAACCCTTCGTTTCTTACAAAAGGTTTCACGAACTGACCAGCTGGTGCTCTCTTGAACACAAGAAGTGCCGAAAGTATACTCACAGAGCACGGAAAAATCCAGAAGAAAATTCCATATTCAAATAATTAATCATGATTTTATTTTCGTTATCAGTTTCGCATCGCGTATTTTACAATTTAACTGTAAAAACGCGACCCATCACAGTGAATATTTACAAAGGAGAATTCGCCACGACAAGTTTTAAGTTCAATTTTCGCTTTGACTAATAACAGATTAAAAAAAGATGCAGAAGCACAACTACTTAACACAAATATGGAAGAAAACGTAGACTAGAATGATAAAATTAAAAAATAAAACAAAAAAATTAATGGAGAGATTTTTTGAAAAATAGAACCTACTTCGATTTCTATATTTTACACGAACCACTTTGAAGCCGAAATAGTAACCATCATCTGCATTTTAAGTGGTAACCTGCTATTTAAATATTGTAGTATTATGTTCAACATCAGTACGTTTTCCCAAACTGCTCGAAGATTGGAATCGGCGATGCCACTGTTTGAAATCTCTGCCAAGAAAAAAATATGTACATATACTAATCAATATTTTTCCCAAGGCCGGTAACTTCTGCTAATTTAGCCCAATCATCGAAATAGTACCTTTAAAGGTTAGCATTAAAGTCGAGACACTCTCACCTCAAGATATTTCTAATTAGACTTCCGGAAGTTACGACCATCATTTCCGTCAATATCATGTAAATCGCTACCCCCTTCCCTAAAAAGCCAACTAAACCCAACACAGCGGTCAAACGTCTGCGCATGTGCGAACTTTGTAAAAGCTTAGAGACATGTTTTCAGTCCGTCAACAAATTTGTTTAACAGGAGTTACAAACAACCATATAAGTCAGTGATTCACGGTGTTTTAAAACCGTGAAACTTTTCTGGTAAAGCTCAAAACAAAATGATAAAGCACCGAGATATCCGTCCTAAATTAAGCGTTGTGTTTGAAGTCTCGAGTTTTCCTTTTTCCTTCTTTTCTTTCTTGTTTTTAATAATTCATTTACATTTTTTGCACATATTTTGCGTGACAGCATTGTTTCTTATGCTTTACTCTAAAGCTTTGCGCGGGTAATTGACGCGCGGCTGGTCAAAATTGAACCACCTGCGCATGCTTGACGTTTGATCACTATGTTACTAGGCCCTCCCCTGACGTGTCTTTATCCAGTTCCGTATGAGAGAAAGTTATATCATACACCAATCTAGAAGGCACGAATAATGCGTCGCAATAACCGAGAGGCCACAAATGAAAATCACAAGACATGGTAACAAATTAGAGGAGAAACTGTGTAGTTCTTACCGAAGGCGTGATATGTCTGTCTACGTTTTCTTCTCTGAAATGCTTTGTTCCATAAGGAAGACTAAAGAAAAAGAACGTTAAAATTTTCATATGAAAAAAATAAGAAAAACCATGTAATGAATATTTTCTATGTATTTAAAGTAATCCGGGATAATGCTTGCTTTCCTTTCCTTCGCGCTGTGATTGGTCTCAAAAACTCGCGCCACTTTTGCACCAATCAGAGGTAAACTGGAGCCAGTCGCATGTTGGTGACACACGTTTTCCCGCGCTTTTATCACACGCAGTTATTTACAAGCTCTCATTGGCTCCTTAAGATATTTTCCTTTGCTCTGACTGGCTGTTTTGAAACCGAACTCACCTTCCATACTGTGACGTTGTGTGTAGTAGAGGTTCATAAGGGCGCTCTCGATGAGTACATGGAACAAACCTGAAACAATCAGAGGTAACAGCATGTAACTTCTTCTAAATCAAAACACCATTTAGGAGACCGATAGTAAAAATTGGATAACAGTCCTGGACAACGTGATAAAATATCTTATGATATAACAAAATGTATATGAAATTCAGTGAGGAGAATTACACGCAGATCTCAAAGGTCACCTCGTGATGGATTCACCAAACCTTGAGTAGATGATGAACAGTACACCCAACATGATCAGTAGAATAAGATGAGTCCAACGAAGAGTAAGGAGAAAGAAAGTTCCTGGGCTTCCTGTGGCATTAGTCCAGGTAAGAAATATGTTTAAGAGAAGGTTCGAGAAGGTGATGGATTGAATCTCCTTCATTGTATGATTGCAGAGGAAACTGTTAGCTGTGGAAAGATTGTTCAGAGGAAAGAAATTGCCGATGATGTTCACATTTCAAGGAAATGGGAAGCTTCTTTGCCAGACAAGATTCTACTCGCAAGTGTTATTTCGGTCTTGTAGTGTGATATGTAGAGGTTAAAGGCTGCCCTAAAGTCCGAAAAGGTTTTTGAGCAACTTTAACGTAACGGTTGTGCAAAAACCTTTTCAGACATTAGGGCATATTTTTGCCAAAGCTAAGGATCCTGTCACGAAAGAACAACGAACAACGACGCTATTTATTCTATTCCGTGCAATGACTGTGATCACGAGTATATCGGACAAACCACACGTCAGTTTGGTACACGTTTGAAAGAGCATCAAAAAGCGGTCTTCTTTTGCAAATAAGAAAATTCAGCTTTTTCGGAGCATACATGCCCAACTAACAATACAACTGGATGGGATAATTCTAAAATTATCACCGCTAAACGGCGTTACCACCACTGCCTTCGTTTAGAAGCCTGGCATATCAACTCCGCCCACGATCCTTTAAATCGTGATGATGGCGGCGTACTACCTAACGCCTAATTACACCTTGTCAGAAAAAAAGGGCAGCTAATTTGTGAGCATATAAAAGGACCTCTTGTTGCCGCGATTTGATCACTCCTGTAACCCATAACTGCAAAGAAAAATACTTCGGTTTTGCTTTACTCAACAATTGGTCCCAAAAAAAAATGAGGTCACCCCTTCGACCAATCAAATGCAAGTGACTAAACCAATCGTGACTTGGTCACCCGCGTTTTCCAGCGCTTTGGACAGTTTGCTTTTTTTTTTCATTGACTGAATGCGTTATTTTCTCCTCTCTAATTGGTTGTTGGGATTGTTATGGTTTTGGTTTTCTGACAATCGATCGAAAAGCGCTGTACTACCTCAGTTTTAAGCGGAAGAGTGCCACAGGCAAAAGCACAAGCACTTTTATAGCATCTGAAAACAGAGGAAAGGATGAAAGATAACAGAACATCTCAAGGTAAAAATTGCCAAAAAAGTAATGTATCCATCAACTGGTGAAATACGATACACTGGTGATTCCAAGATACACGAGTGAGATACACGAGTGAGTCCAAGCGTTCGTCAAAGATAACAAAAGAACTCAGTGGAAAAAGCATGAAAGACTGAGACTTTATCAACATGGAGCACGTTGAGGAGTATACATCATGTTGCAAAGTAGTTTAGATTCATATGAGAAACCACCGCTGTCACGCAAAATATGCGGAGACGTTCATAGAAATTTGTAAGAGGGAGAAACAGTACATGGAAGGAAAACTCAAAACTTTTCGAACACAAAGCTTATTTAATTTCGGGTTTCACGTTGATTTAGCGCTTTGTTTTGAGCGTTATCAGGAAAAGTTTACGGTTTTCAAAGACCGTAACGTACTCGTTCGTGTGGCTTTTCTAACTCCGGTGAGAGAACTTGGATGTAAGAGCCTGAAAGCACGCCACCTAACCACGATCCCTGGCTACAGCAACGTTAACACATGCGCAGACATTAAACCACTGTGTTACACTTTGTAGCTACGGCGAGACAAAAGAAACAGGAAACAGGCATGGTAAAGTATGTGAAAGAATGCAGGAAAGATCCAAGCAATGATTGATGCAAGTACCATCAACCTCATCCCAGTGGTCCTGTTTGTCATGCACGTAGTAATCGGGACACCTGGCTGGCCAGAGTTCGCTGAGCGGGCTCTGAGAACAAGATTACGAACCCATATATCGTTCTAACTGGATATATGGCTGATGAAGAGAAATGACAAGGAGGTGATTATCAAACGCGCTTGGTCCACTTTCATAGTCGCGTAAGACATTCTAAGATATGGCTCAGTGTCTCAGTTGAAAGACACTTGCACTTTCATCAACATCTTATTGTTAGGACAAGATAAGTTGACAACTCACTTATCATCTATCAGTCTTGTTACCCATTCATCAGCTTTCATGTCAGCTCTAGGAGAGAGAAATGAAAATATAACATAGTAAATGGTTTGAACCGAATAGTATCATTTGACCCTTTCCCTCCCAACATCTCAGTAGTAATTCTCCTTGCTGTCTGCAATACAATTCTTATGATGATAGTTTGGAGAATTTGGTATTGGATCAAGTTAAATAATCCCCTTATTGATATTTTTCTTTATTCTCATTAACCTGTCTACTTGATATTGTATTGATATTAAAAGAGGAAAGTATATCTTGGTCACTTATGGGAGTTCAAAGTCATGTGGTCTGTTCCATCATCAAGATAAAAGTATAGTCCCGAGTTAGACTGTTGTTAATACTTATATACTTAATAAATAAAGGGGGTAAGTTTCTAAAGAAACTGTGGTGCTGAATCGGTAGGGGAGTATAACATGATAATTTGGTATTATCAACTGAGTTAATAACGTAAATTGGCCACCGTTAAGAGTTTGAAAGCTTGCACTAAACTTAAACCAGCTCATTACTTAATTTACAGCTTAGAAATCATTCAGCATTTACCTTGCATCCTCTGCTGAGAGGTAAGAAGTGGCCACTCTTAATGTTGGATTTAGAGGTTTGTGTCTCTGCTGCCACACCTCATTTGGAGTACGGAATGGACCCTAAAGTTAAAGAACTGTTAGTTACCAATCCCAGATACTTTTGCTACATGTATGTGGGCAATATAGAAGCTGAGTTGTATAAGGTTCCAATGTTGGGACTGTAATTATAGGTAATAACATGATTTCAAGTGCAATTTGGTGTTAATAACCACAAGTAAATTTTTCAAAGACAGCAAAATTGGGGTTATTCAAGCAAAAGCTTCTAACTGGTAATTCCATGAGGTACTGCGTTAACAAAGCTTAGCAAAGTGGATATAACTTTTAAGTTTGTGGATGAAACCCTAGCATGTAAATGCAATCAAATGACAGCTCCTAAGTAGTACTTTCACATGGTACTGTTTATCATACTGTACAAGAATGAATCCTAACTTTAGAGTCTGTGAGTGAAACCATAGAGGGTAGCATGAGGCAGGGGAAGGAAAGTCCTGTTTCAGACAATTTCTCACATCACAACATTAATTTAAAAGGGAAAACTTCAAATCCTTCCTCATATGTGCTAGGTTTCAGGGGAAATCTTGAGAATTTCAGGAAATAAAAGAAAAAAAAATCACAAGTCAGTTATATTTCAGGAAACAAATTACACCTCACACTGGTTAGTAAATTCACAAATCATGCTCATAGGTCTTTCTTTGACCTTCGTATTACATTTAAACCCTTCATCACACTCAACCCAGTGTGTCACCGTTCAATTGAAAATTTCTGAACTGTTCTTTTCATCTAATCTCAAGGGTAATATTTTAAAATCAATCCTTACTTGTACTTTTGCGGTTGACTTCATAGATATTGGAGGAAGAGGCACAGTCTTGGACTCCCTTGTAACAATTTTAACACTTCGAGATTGATCAAGAATCTGTGCTGCATCTGATTTCAGCTTCTGCCGGCTTCTGCGGCTTAAAGGTCTTGCATTCCTCAACTCAATCTCTTTTGCTGATGGTTGTGGTGGGAAAAAGGGTGAGTTGTATACTCCAGGGATTTGATGAGTGCTGATGTAATAATGTGTTTTTCTTGCTTTCTCCTCTTTTGCAAGCTAAAATAAGAAATTAGCAAATAGCATGTTTTACTTAGTGTTATATCATTCTCAAGAGGAAAAATAGAACTTGTTCATGTGTCAGAGGCAGACATTGTTCAATCATAAACATCACATATTCTTTGAAGAAGTAGCTAGTTGACACTTCAACCCTTAGGAAAAATGGTATATAATCTCTCCTTACAATATCACCACTGAATCAAACATCAAGGCCCCTAGGAGATTTAAGGCTACTGAATCACTAACTAAAGTGGCTCTTCATTTGAAGGGGGTAAGTCTCAAAAGAAACTGTGGTGCTACATCGATGGAAGAGCACAAATTGGCCACCATAAAGAGTTTAAAGGCTTCATTGGAGTGATTGTCAATTGCTAACTAGATACTGGTCTCTATCATAACAAGGTCACCATCAGCCTCACTCTAAATCACAGGCTTGACAACTAAGTACATAACTGTAAAATAGCCTGTTTTCTACAACTTGCAACCTCCTGCTGCAGATGCCTGCAAGTGAGTTATAAGCTTATCCCAGTTTCTTTATGATAAAAACTTCACATCATTTTACCTTTTCTTCCATTTCCCTTTTCCGTTCCTTTTCTTGTTTTGATTTAAGAGCAAACTCCTCCAACTCTTTCCTGAAACCATGGATAAAACATTAGAGATCATCAATATTTTCTTAAAAATTTCTTTTGTAACATGTGCACATAATATCGCAAGGCTAACTTAAACTACTGTGCATAACAGTGCAAATTACCAAAACTAGGAGGAAACAGTTACAAGGTAAACTCTCTCACCGAACTACTTCATTCTTGATCACAACTCCTTCCAAATACCTCTTACGACTGTAGTAATTGTAGATATATTTACGAACATAATAACCTACATTTAAAAAAAAAAGTTTCAAAGTAAGTTGGTGTAAGTTGTACTTCAGAGGGAAGGGTGATATAAATCACACAAAACTTTTTATTACACATCATTAAATTATTCATGATTCACATCAGAGCATAAATTACCTCTCCATAATTTCTGAATCTGAAAGAAAAAAGTGTACAAGTTCTCAGTTATAACATTAAATAAAAAGCCCTCACTAGAAATAAATGGAAGGTTACCAAAAAATAACATCTGTAGCTTTGTCTTTCACTTACCAGTGTTGCTTGCTTGTTAAAGAAATCAGTGCGCATCATGGCTACTTTTTCCTAACAAAAGAGTAATTTTTTTGTCAAATTCTTAAATCAAAGATGTCTACAAATTTCCTTTAAGTATTAAAGTTCTAATTTTTTAAAGAGAATTATACCTCAAAGACCAATATTCAAGCCTCGCATAATTCAGCCTAGTCAGTTTCTGGTTCCAAAATTTATATGTTGCTTTGACCAGATTTGATACAATACCCCCTTGATGTTCTAAACTTTGTATGATTGACACTACCATGGAATGAAAATTTAGAGGTTACAATGCAAAGACCTTGCTGTGCTTGCTCTTGGGCCAAATTTTTATCTATACATTCCCTTCATTCAGTCAATAGATACATATTATCTTAGCCAATGTCTTACTTCATAAACAACAATGATGAAAAAAGAGCTTCATTATAAATCTTCTTACCTGTACAATCTGTCTGTATATTTCTCTGCCTTTGTGTCCCCGGAAATGTCTTTGCACTGTGGTGGCACAATAATGGAGAAATCTGCAGCAAAAAATATATGTGCAATGTGTTAACTTTTCAGATTGGCATGATTAAACAATGACAAATAATATAATTTCCAATGCCATACTCGAATAAACCCTTTAAGTCCTAGAGGTGATTAACCTGCAACATCTCTCTATCTTATCTATACATTACCCAGCAAACAGGTGATGATAATACTCAAACATATCAAGTAGAAGTTGTTATTTTGATCTAACACCAAATTCTTGTTCCTAATTTATAAAGAAATGTTTATTAACTAGAGAGGAGAATTGAAAATCAGATCTTGGGAGTTAAATGGGTTAAAGAAGGAAGTGATGAATGATCTAGTGTACAATGCTTTTCCTCATTTTGATTTCTCAATAAGACATAGCTTGAGACAATTAGGTTAGTCCTTGCACCCTTAAGACAACAAGGTTAACCCTTTAACTCCAAGATCTGATTGAAAATTCTCCCTTCTGGCTGCTACACATTTCTCTGTAATTTAGCTACAAGAATTTGGTGTTAAGTCAAGATAACAACATTTACCTGATTTGCTTAGGAATTCTCATTACCTGTTTGCTGGCAAATGTAATGAATACAACAGGGAGAAGATAAATATTAATCACTTCTGGGAGTTTGAGACATTTACAAGCAGTGTGGAAGTCTTCCTTGCTGGTTCATAACTTGTATAGTTGGAAAAGGAGATACATTTTATTGGGACAAATATAGATGCCCAATTATTTTCCATGGGAAAAGGGGCTTAACCCTTTCACTCCCACAAGCGACCAAGGCAGAATTTCTCCTTACAAAATCAATACAATATCAAGCAGACAGGTGATGAGAACAGAGAAGAATATCAATCATGGGATTATTAGTTGATCCAATACCAAATTCTCTGAACTAACATCATAAGAATTGTATGGCAGATAGTAAGGAGAATTACTAATTAGATCTTGGGAGTGAAAGGGTTAAGCAACGTAGCAAATTCCTAAAATAATCATTGGAGAAGCATTTTACTAGAACATATTATATACAAAGGAATGTGCAGTTCTGTAACATGCACAGGTCCTACCTCAAGTAAGCTCGAACTTTAGTTCCTCTAAACCAACTTTGGATTTTAAGCGCAGCCAGGAATTCTTTATTTCTGTGATCCTCGGCATCTCTGCAAATTCAACAACAAATTGGTATGAAAATGATAAAGTTGACATATTGTTATCTTTTATAATGATCCTTGTATGCGTTGATAAGTGATTAACGTCAATGGATGGCTGTAGCGAAACACTATGAGTGAATTACCGCAATGCTATTTAAACAGTGTAGTGTTTTTCATGTCAAATATTTAGCGAGAGAAACATGTTTTGAATACCTGTTGCTTGCGCGAAAACTGTACTACAACATCGAAACAATTCAACCGCTTAAGTTCTTCCCGACAGAGCAAGACCATTTACGGTAAAATAGTATATTAATCGGTGACAGATCGCCGAAATCTTTCGCCAATAAACCTTATTGTATAAATAAATAACACAACACTAGAGAGCAAAAATACTACAGTGCAAAATGTTGTTGAAAAAATTCAAAACTGAACGTGAGTGGTTATATTGAAAAGAAGCTAAGAATAAAATAATAAATAAACGACACACTTATAGCTTCAAATAACTAATCTAACCTCTTATTTTCGAATAACTGATCGACAACTTTTCCCCTTGATTCCATCAGTCTCACGAAAGTCGCCATTTTGTCTTTCTGTCCAAAATGTTTCTATGGAAACGATGACTCTCAATCCCAATGTCTGCGCTTCCACGAGCAACCGAGCGCGAGCATTGGTAAAGCGCCACAATAATTCGCAATTCCTAAAAGACCAAGACCTAGATTTCAGCGTAATCTGGGATTACTTAAACATTTTAATGAACGTTTTCTTAATTACAAGCTCTCCGACAAAGACTAAATTCCTGTTATTACATAAAAAGCAGCAAGAAATTAAAAGTGGGGGTCAGCATTACTGATTTGACAACTCGGCAGTTTCACCGCTAAAAATAGAACATTTGAATAAACAGGAGCTATGCATGTATTCTCTCCTGGACCTTATACAGTTCAGGTTCGTTGACTTTCCAAATGATCTTTGCTTCATCGCATCACTAATTTGCTTTCCACTTCCAAAGTGATTTCCCGGTTACCCGACTTGACATCCCACGTGCCGACCACGTGCGCGTATGGCCAACGAGGAAAGCGAGCGTGATTTTAAAAATGAAAGGGCTAAGCGTCAAAGATTTCCTTTTTCCCTGTTTATACTTTCAATTTTAAGTTTTATTCCTTGTCAGAAAATTGATCTCCAGGATTAATACAGTATCCATGGGAACATTTTTCCGCTTATGGTTTTAACAGTTCTCGTATTTCTGCAGCGAGGTCAAAGTCAAGCCAGGGTCTTTTTATTTATGGCTATGATACAACTTTTATTTCTTTCTTAAAAGCGTTCTCTAATTAAAGTGGTTTTTCGAAAACACATTCGGTTCGCATACACATTTGGTTTTTAATCTTTTACAAAGTAAGCGAGTTGTTTTCTGTTGACAAAGACATGTTGAACGGAAATAGTAGATCGTGAGCACGGCAAGTTTGTACCAATTTAACAGCTTCTGAATGTGACACAATGACGAAAAAAGGTAATTAACTAAAAAAAAAAAATCAAAAATTGTGCGCGAACTAAATCCTCTTCAACGCTAGGGGATTAGAGTCACTTTGCCTGCACAGTTATTTATAACAATAGAGATATTCCCCAATCTAAACTGTGTTAACAAATTCTCGGATGAATTGAAAAATTTCGATACTTTGTTGCTGTTTATAATGCAATTAGGTTAATTTTAGGAATTACTTCACCTAACATCGGCTTTGACATGTCTCTGTTTGTATACAAACTCCAACAAGCTTGTTGCTTCCTTGACCTGTACGTGTTAAAATCGCTTATTGACACATCTAATCAATATACCTCCATAAATGACGAATGAAAGAAATTATGCGCCAAAGTCTATTTTCTGATTCTTTACGCCCTGTAAGAGAACATTAAGAATTCGCCTTAAGGAGTGGAAACCAGCTTTTGCTTACAAACCGACCTACGCTTTTTTACTCGAGAAAATGCTAGCAAAAACTAACGATATTGGCATTTGCGGACAAAAAAAACATGATTTATAATTTTCTGTGCCCGATTTTTTGCCGCTGTAGTAACAAATCTTTCCGTCGATTGAACAGTCCCTAGATTTCCCGGTCTTCTGATGATTTTTTGATGCAATGTTTGGAAGACGTGATCCTAGTTTACAACCCGCGGAAGTACGCTCAACCCACGGATAATAATTATTTTTAGAGTAATCAAACGTTCTTTTCCGCATGGACCTTCGTTAGTTCTCGTGAGGAGTGACTCGTAGGTGTTCGGAGACCTTCGCTGATTACGTAATAGTGCACGAACCATATATGGGATGACTCGTAGGAATTATTTTGTTGCTATTCAAAATCATGATTTCATTGGCTGTGGATGACATCATTATTATCTTTTGAATGTTCTATTTTTGCAGTCTATGTTTCACATCAAGCTATGCAAAAAGGTGTAGTACAATCCCTAAATCTCTCGAAAGCGAAAAGGACTGTTCCTCACTCGGCCTGAAGGCTGAAAATATTCAAGGCAGAGAAAACGTTGTTTTATTTTGGACACAATTTGTTTCGGATATTTTCTACTACACGTGTACAGAGACTGCTTTAAGCCAAATTTGTACGCGGGCAGCTGTCTGAGCGAAGCGTGCGTTTGAATTTGGTTTCCTTGTTTTTTGTAATCTAAATTTTGTCTTAATGCCTCCTCTTCTTTTGGGACCAAGACCGACTCAGTCGAAAGTTGGATGTGTGAATCGATCCTCAGATATGAGCAGTGGAAAATGGAAGAGTGTCTCGTCAACTGAACTTGCTCAAAGCATTGATAATGGTGGAGCGGGTAATTCGGCAGAAATTCTTATTGTTGACTGTAGATCGCTAGTAGCTTTTAACGGACTACACATAAGAGGAGCTATCCATGTGAATTGCACTGGAATAGGGCGTAAGCGACTTTCACAAGGCAAGGCTAAACTAAAAGACTTGATTTCTTCAGCTGAGGGCAAAGAGAAGTTTATCCGTGGTGGAGTGGGAACAACCTTTGTTATCTACGATGAGTTGTCAAGTGATCCCGAAGATTGCAATCCGTGTCGTCCGATTTGCTTAGTTTTACAAAATCTTTTAAAAGAAGGGAGAAATATTTCGGTGCTAAAAGGTAAGTCCTGCTCATGACACTTTCTGTTGTTTTAATATTTACTTAGTGTGATTGGTGTTTAACCGTAGTGCTTAGAGTTTTAGTTCTCCGCGCTTTTATGTCAATGGCAGTCAACAGAAATAGGCTCGCGCTAAGACGATTTTTTTCAACCCTGACGCAGTTTCCGATTTTGTCTGGAGTCACTGTTTTGGTTTCAAGAGACGCGACCTTCGTTATTTTTATGATATTGGTAGCGAGCTATGTCATCTCCGCTGTTGAAATTTGTGTGCATGCGATCATTCAACCGCGGTGGATGAGTGGTCACGGCAAGAACTCTTGTGACGCAGATTTGGGCTTCTGTGAGTGGTCAAATACCGAAACAGCTTTTCTCTTCAGCGCTCGTATTCTGTGGCCTTTCTTTGTTTATCTGAACAGGAAATAAGGCCACTGACGTTGGCATTTTCTCGGCATGTACTCTCGGGGAGACACGAAACAATTTCTTTGTTTAAAAAGAAAACGAAAACTTTTTTATTTTGGATCAAAATACCAGATGATAGGGGAACGCAAAAGCTTAAATATTCCGAATGGAAAGTTGCTTAGTACGGCAATATTGTTCGGTGCGATTTTCCTTTGATTCATTAAGAGAAATATATCTCAGCATATCCTGTTTGATCTTATTTATGGCGATCGGCGAAATCTAATCTAAGATTAAGAAAACAAGGGGAAAACACCTCAGTTCGTCTGAAAGATGCTTTTGTTTTGTCATGCAACGCTACTTACGAAAGAACTCTGATTGCAATCTAATCCCGAATTCGTGGTATGCCTTGCGTGTTATAAAGCTAGGTGCTGATGACCTAGCGTATAAGCTATGAAAAGAATTAGCATGGGCATCGAAGATTATGCTGCAGTGAGTTTTGACAATTTTCGCCTTCATTGAGTCACTGGAATACGCATTATGGCATTCAAAACTTCTCAAATATTTTAATTGCTGCAGTTTTAAAAATCTTGTATGGACATGAAATCAAGATTTTTTGAAGTTAGTAAATGCATAGCATTCTTAATATACTCCGAAAGAGTAATGGATTATGAAAAAGTTAATTTCGTTTTACTCCTTGTCAGTTTGTATTTTAGGCAACTATACTCAACTACTTTTATTTCTGATGATCTGTGTTTTGTTTTCTCACAAAGAATTCAAGTGTTTGCAAATTAACTTTGACTACTTCAAAAATAGAAATGATCAAATGAAGGGTTGGTAAATATGTTGAAATGTCCATTGTTGGCATTTACATTATGGACCTAATACTGATATTGTGTTCCTAATTAGTTGCGCAATATTCAGCAAAAAACTATTTATTGACTAGTGTTTCTTATTATATAAGATATTTTCTGTTTTGGTCAAGAGAGGTTCCTAACAGAAAGAGACCTTTGTAAAATAACTCATTTCTACCTTGTCATGTTGTTTATAGATCCAAATTTATTAGTTTCTTTCTATTTCCTGTCTTCAAATTTCCTTGTTCCTTACAGTTTTTATGCTGAATCATGCTTAGTTCAGCAAATGCATGTTATGTAATCAATTTTATATTTTCAAGATACAATTTTTGTTACTACTATTCATGAACTTTTTTGATAGAATTTGGAAGAATTTATATCTTAAGAAAAATTTAAAACTGAGCTTTATGCTTCATTAAGAGTCAATATTGCGTTAGGAAATTTTTGATGATTAATTACTCAGAAAGCTCTTGTATTGTAAATACTGTACAAAATATTAAGTCGTTCTTTTTTTCTTTTGAATGTTTACCCTCTAAGCTGCTGATTTGACTTTTCTGCCATTATATCACAATTGGAAGGAAATGATTACTTAGTGTGATCAGTTAATTGTTTCATACACAAAATTTAACTGATTTCAGTTTCATTATAGCACAGGTCTAAGTCAAGCATGAATTTAATTAGAAAGATGATATTTTGACATTTTCCCCTCTTTTAGACTTCTAAATCTCTCATTTTGATTTATACAAATGCTTTTCTTTAAATTTAAATTTATTCCCAGAGATGTTAAGGTTGATCTCACAGAAAAATCATTAGGTGTCTGAAAGCTCTTGTCTCAGAATTCTGAGTTACCAAGTTTTATAAGTTGCTTCATGACAACAGTTAGTGACCTCTGGTATTTATGCTCTGCTTTTAAACCCTGTTGTGGAACTGAGAAGGTATCTAGCTCTCAATGTACTAAACTTCCTTTTTTCCAGTGAGATTGTTGACCAGATTGATAATATCTTGAGCTTAAAAAGGTCTTCAAGGTCTTCTGTTTTCTACGCTTTGCGAGGATTCACCCAAAAATATTTGCATCTGTGGTAGTACCATGGTCATTGAACTGGAAACAATATTGAATTTAAGTGACTTAAGAGGTCACTAAACCTATGTAGAAAAAAAAGGTAATTGCTGTTGTTAGATTCAGAAATTTTTGAGTAACCAATTTTTTAGCTTTGTTTATATAATTTGAAATCTAAATTTCTTTTTCAAAAATGTACTAAAATGTTTCAAAGTCAAAACT